TCATAAAGAAAGCTAAGCACATAAAGGTCTGATGGTGTAAGGTGTTAAAACTTTTCTTTAAATCTTATCAATCACTTCTGAACAGTTAAGTGTTACCTATTTGGGATTTTTTTTTTAATAATATGCAAGTAAAAAAAACCAGCTTATATTTAAACAATAGGCCCATGATGGCCCTGGATCGCTCACCTGACACAACCGCATCCAAGCAATGTCTTAAACAAGCATCATGGCCAAGTTTGATGACAACAGAGTCAAACATGTGACCTCTAGTGAGTTATAAAGATTTTTCCATATTTGGGCACTGTGACCTAATTTTTGACCGGACACGACCCGTATTCAAACTTGACCTAGAAATCATCAAAACAACCTTCCTGACCAATTTCCAGGACATTTGGATCAAAACTGCAGCCACTAGAGTGTTAAAATGCTTTTTCTATTTTTAGATCCTGTGACCTAGTTTTTTATCGGACATGACCAATCTTAGCACTTGACCCAGAAATCATCAAAACAACCTTCCTGCCAAATTTCCAGAATATTTTAATCAAAACTGCAGCCACTACAGTGTAAACAAGCTTTTTCTATTTTTAGCTCCTGTGACCTTGTTTTTGACCTGAGATGACCCATCTTCGAACTTGACCCAGAAATCATCAAAACAACCTTCCTGACAAATTTCCAGAATATTTTAATCAATACTGCAGCCACTAGAGTGTTAACAAGCTTTTTCTATTTTTAGCTCCTGTGACCTAGTTTTTGACCGGACATGACCCATCTTCGAACTCGATCTGAATTTCCTTGAGACAAACAATTTGACAAAGTTTGCAAAACTGTGACTGCTAGACTGTTAACAACCCAATTGTTGACGACGCACGACGCCGGACGCCGGACATAGCCCCATCACTATACATCACCTTGACCACTTCTTGGTCAGGTGAGCTAAAAAGTTTATTTGATATTTGATCATAAAAGAAAAGAGGAAAATTTCCCCCATACACTAAAATTCCCCCTGCTGAGGGTAGCGACCCACTTCCCCCAAATTGGATTGAGGGCCCTGATATCAAAGAGGAAATAACTTTTGAAATAAAGATGCTAGTTATGACCCTTGTCATGCATGGTGCAAGTTATAACAAAAGTAAGAACAACTAGAAGGGGTTTTCAAACACTTGTCTCCCACAACCAGGTATGGTACCGATCAGATCATCACTCCTGTAAAGTTTGGTCAATTACTGCCAGCAGTTTGACCTGTGAAAGGAAAACAGGATATTTCTGTTTATTGACCTGGCAGCCATTTGGTGCTGCAAAGAAAAACATGCCGGCGATATGCACAACTAGGAATGGTACTGATCACTCCTGTGTAGAAATGTCAAAATCCCACCAGCAGTTTGACCTGTGAAAGCCAGACAAAATTTTTCTACTGGTTTGGGAGATAAAGTCGGCCAAAAATCAGTGTTTTGGGGGCATATTTCATTTATTTGTTTACGTATTCTGATGATCTTGCACCATAAATTAATAAACTTCAGCTCTTCGATTTTCCGGTATCATCATAAAAGGTATATTTAGAAACATAATGGGTAATTTTGAGAGGCCCTGGGAGAGGTACGTAAAAAGGATATTTTTAACGCCCGCGAGTAGATAATTCCGGCTCTTTGTTTTTCTTCTTAAATGAGCAAGTTAAAACGTAAAATAACATGTTTAGACATTTTATTATTTCTTTGCTGTTCATTTATGTCAAATAAAAAATATTTGTTACCAAAATTGTTGAGCATTACGTTAGTGTAATGAATATCTATGATAACAATTATATGCAACATACTATGTAACATTTAAATCATTTTTACGTAAAAACACATGCATTATCATTTATTAACGTATAACGAAATATGTAGTTAAAGAATTAGTCAGTGTTCCCATTTACGCACATATGTGCGTATTTTACGCATAAATTCCAAAATTCACGTACAGTAATTTAGACAAGAGGGTAAAAATACGCACAGAAAGTCAGGAACTTAATCATGTATAATTCAAAAATTGTTCTTTTGAACAATTTCTCATACAAAAATCACTTAAAAAGCATTGAAATTGATGAAATGTGAGAAAATCTGCCAATTCACAATGAAGTTTACAGACCCCCCTCTGGGAATTATTGCCGTAAATTACAAAATTTGAAATTTTTGTTTTACAATGCCTGTAAGTATAGCCAATGAAAAACAATCTTGAAATATTAAAAAAATATTAATTCTAATATAATTGTAATCAGCAGCAACTGGAATTGTGAATGTTTCTGCAGAAAACATACAAATTTTCATTTGTCACATATTTTCGCGATGCCGATTTTGTTAAATAAAAACATCACCAAAAAGGAAGCTTTGTTTTGTTCAAAGGTGTGAAGTAACAATTTATATGCTGTTTATAAATTAAAATAACTTAAATAATAGTTACATTAATTGAGATGGGGATATATGCCAGTATGTGTTGGTCACAATGAATTTTACCTAAGGGGGGGGGGGGTGTGGAGTGAATATTATTGTACAAATTTATGTACCCCCTGAATTTTTTTTTTACCCCCAGTTTTCAAAGGTAAGGGGTAAAAATACTCCCAATAAAAAATAGAAGTGGGAACACTGATTAGTGATTCAAATTTATTTTTCCTTAGCTTAACAGAGTGAAGAAGAAATTATTTTAGTGGTATTCAACCTACACATTAACATATAAAAGGAGCATTTAACATCAGTCTTTCGATCCATTCCACTTAAAGATTACAATTTTGTAATCAGCCTTTTTACTGAGTTAGCAAAACAAAAGTGAGTCTTAATTTCATCTACAAAATGCAGGGATCATTCTAGGGGGCGATTTCCGCGATTTCTCGCAAAAATATCACCAAAATCTCAGAGAAATTTGTGAAATGAGAGAAAATCTCGCACGGCAATTTGAGCCGGAAAATGTCTAAACACAATCTAAGGAATGCTAAAATTACACAAAAATATGATGAAAAATTCACGATTCCCATCAAGAATTTAATTTCAAATTGTTTATTAATGAAATCGGTGTAAAAAACTCCAAAAAGTAGTACAACACTTTGAATTATTTAGCCTAAAAGAATTGCCGATCGGAGACCGCAAATTCACCGTACAGAAATACTGTATGATGGCTAACCTTTATCTATCTGTAAGTCGAGAATTTACACAAAACACTTTTAATTGATTTTAATAAAAATTTTTAGACACAGACTAACATAAAAATAAACATGTCAAAAATAAATCTACCAGTAAAATTTGTCTTCTAAATGTCACATCAACCACGGTAAATTTTGCCGTAAAGAACAAATTTAAAAATTTTGTTTTACGATTCCTGATGAAATAGCTGATAATAAATGTTCTTTTATTGAACAAAAATATTTAATTTTGTATAATTGCAATCAGCAACAGCTAGAATTGTGAATGTTTCAGCAGAAAACAGACAAATATTCATTTGTCACATATTTTCGCGATGTCGTGATTAAAAAAAATTCTAAAAGGAAGCCGAGTGTTATTTAAAGGTGTTTTATAACACTAAAAATGATGTTTATGAATAAAAATTACTTTAGTTATTGTTTATATTTGTGGATATGGAGATATTTGTCATTATGTGTTCAGGTATATTTTTTAATGGAGGGAGGTGTGTGAAGAGAATCATAAAGAAAACAAAATGAAAGGTTATAAAAATTTTCTTCAAATCTCAACATTCACTTCTGTACAGTACAGTGTTGTCCGTTAGGAACATTGACTGCAAATAATAGTTGTAGTAGATATCCATGTATAATTCTTTAATATTTCAGAATAAAGGTGTTATATTTATTTTTCACAATTAGAATTTTATTATGTTTAAAAAATCACAAAAGAAAAGGCATAGGATGTGTTAAAAAAGTGAAAACAAAAATCACTGTAATAAACAGAGCTACATCTTCTTATATCCTCATTAGATAAACAATGTTTATAATTATGTTCAGTGATTTTTAAAAAGTTAGAAATTTCCATATTTTTAACCTCGCCCATCATGAAAATTAAATCTCTCAAGAAAATCTAATTTCTCTCATCAAAATTTCTCAAATGAGAGAAAATCACTCACTAAAAATCCTGACCAGGATGATCCCTGAAAATGCATACGTATTAACGTCGTCTGCTTTACCGGTAGTCGGTCAATATATAAAAGTACCCCTTTGCGGGCCTCAAAATGAGCATCTGCTGCACATGCGCACAACAATGGGATACCCGTACCTTTTATAGGGCATGTTTTGTAAACAAACAGGTTAAAGTTTGTGTTATATTTTAATTATCTTACCAAACTTGACAAAATTTCCAGACATTGTCGAATTCCAGCAATAGTATGAGATGGTGAGCTTGATTAGATTAAAAATCTGGTAACTCGATTTAATTATAAGAAGCCGAGTTTATCAACCAGCCGAAGTTATCTCCCCAACCAGTATTCATAGCTCTAGTGGCCATTTTGTGTAGGGAAGCAGAGCATGCCGGCGATATGCACAACTAGGGATGGTACTGTCAGATCACTCCCATGAAGTTTCATTGAAATCTCAGCATCAGTTTGACCTGTGAAAACCCAACAAGATTTTTCTATTTATAGCTCTGAAAGCCACTTTGTGCAGCAAACAGAACATGCTGGTGATTTAAACAAATAATGGTACTGATCACTCCACCCAAAGTTTGGTCAATCTTAAAACTTGTAAGTTTGATCACTCCACCCAAAGTTTAGTCAAAACTTACAAGTATCTAAATAAGTGGAACATCAACACTTTCAAAAGATGCAATTTGTATGCACTTCCCCTTTTCCCCAAAAACTTCTCCCTATTTTCACTGGAGGGAGAAGTCACTTCTCCCTAAAATTTAGGGCTAGTGTGATCCCTGGGACAAGGAAGGCAAAAACGATGTTTCCAAATATTTTTGAGACAAATATTCCATAAATTAAAAATATGAAAACAAGATAAAAGGAACACTTATCTTCCAACTTACATTAGCTGCAATTCCACCTACAAATATTCTGTTTGGTATAACTGTTCCAAATTTTGGTGCTCCACTTAATGGGGTTCCACATGGTGTAGTTGATGGACTGACATCTCCGGAAGACGTCTGAAATATTAAAAATCATTTACAAAATAATTTGTCAGGCAGCATAATTGTGCATCACAAAAAAATAGCACAATTTAAGTAAAAAAAAAACGCATTTTTTCCCAATCAGTCTAAGACTGGCACCATTCCAAAAGTAAAGAAAACAAGAGGGCCATGATGGCCCCGAGGTCGCTCACCTGTATATAGGCCCCCGGAGCGAGGCCAGTTTAAACCCAAGGGCTTTTATTTGAACAAACTTGGAAGACACCCATTAGAAGATGTTTCATGATGTTAAGTTTTTACTACACACATATAATGAAAAATAATGACCTTCTCCCCCACCCCCGGCAGGGGCCAATTTTAACCACAGGGCTTTTATTTGAACAAACTTGGTAGACACTCATAAAAAGATGTTTCATGCTAAACATCTTAGCTCTAGCTCATTGGGTTTTTTAAAAGAAGATATTTTAAGTTTTTACTATACACATATAGTTAAAAACAACAACACCCCTGGGGCGGGGCCAGTTTTGACCCCCAGGGCTTTTATTTGAACAGACTTGGTAGACACTCACTAGAAGATGTTTCATGCCAAATATCTAAGCTCTAGCTCTTTGGGTTCTTTAAAAGAAGATATTTAAAGTTTTTTCTTTCGGTTGCCATGGCAACCAGAGTTCTGCATGGAATTAAATTATTTGAACAATTTTTAATGCATGGAATTAAATTATTTGAACAATTTTTAAAGGTGACCACCAAAGGAACATTCCTGTGAAGTTTGGATGAAATTGGCCTAGTGGTTTATGAGATGTCATTTAAAGTAAAAGTTTACGGACGGACTGACGCCAAACGAAAAGCGATCACAAAAGCTCACGTGACAGGTGAGCTAAAAACACTCAGTGATTTTTCTCACTTAATTGGGAAGAGGCCTTAGCCTATTGATTTTGGGAAAAATTATCGCTAAAATTGCTAATTTGGGAAGTAAAAGAGCTGGATTAAGTTCAGATTTTTGGGAAAACTGCATGATTTTAAAGAAAATTTCAATTGGGAAGAGGCCTTTTTTCAGAGTCTGTTATATAAGTAGAAAAATCACTGACACTGTATAGGCGGCCCCCGTTATGCTTGACTATACCACGTGAAATAAACATAGTCAAAATGTCTCAAAAGTCTATAACGAATTTTCTAACGACGAAACGGCCGGGGGACAAATCTGATGGAGATTCTATTGCATCTAAAATATCAAAATCAAATATAGAGGAAACCTCTAAGAAGGCAGTAACTGCAAGCTTGAAAACTGGATATTGTTATGGGTGATTTATCAACCGTGACTCAAATGGCCTGCAAAACATGTAAAATGTTTGCACCTGCAGACAGTGTATCTAAGGTATTTATATTTAATTACATTTTCTGTCTATTTATTAACCAGAATGGAAAGATCATATGTAGTTATAAATATGGTCTTGCCCCTTTCTGTCCATTCTGTTTGTCTTTTAATGTCCAATCTTTTATATGGTCTTGGGAGTGGCTGGGGGGGGGGGGGGGGGGGGGCAGGGCCAAAACACCTTTTTTGGGGAAGGGGCCTTAGCCTTTTACTTGGGGAAAATAAGCGCGATTTTTGCATATTTGGGGAAAAATTGGGCAGTTTCATAATCGTCAAGAAAGGGATATATAACATTAATATGGAAAAATAATTAAACAACATAGACTCTCTTATAAGTAAAAAAAACCAATTTTATTCATTGATTTATAATAACATTTCCCAATTCTTTCTTGATTTAAACTCATCCACCAGAGTGTTCTCTGATCTCTCGGACTCCGTTTTATCAACAATGACAACATCATCAACAGCACATACACTTGTGGTAATTATAGATGTTGAAATATGGATTTTTTTCAAAACGGCTTATATTAAGTTTTTTTGATATATATGAACAGTACATGTGCTGGGATTGACAAATATGCATTTTATTTGGATTTTAAAGGCGTTTTGAGCTCCAAACCCCAAGTGTCTGTGATCAACAGTGGTTGAAGAAGTACACTTCTCTATCTCAATGACTTTAGATCTATTGGTATCTGAAGGTGTATCTGATACTTTACTTGATTCACTTACGTTTTTCTTTTGAAAAAAAGCCGTGATATTTTTGGTATTTTTGGAGTCGGACAATTTAATTTTTTTGTGTAATGTGTCCAGTTATGCGACATTTTGAACTTTGCCGTAAAGCGCCGGTATACAAAAACATATATGTTGTAAAAATTTAGTTACAGTTCTACTAATGAAAACGATTTAAGTACTCGAAATTATTAGTTAAACTTCGTACAATAACTTACCTTTGTAGCGGTAAAATAACCGTAAATATCTTTTTACATCTAAAGATAGATTTTTGGTTTTTTACTAGAGTTAAGGTCATCTATTTTTAGCTTTTGAAAAAGTACAGCGTCATGTTTCACGAGACAATGAAATGTTAACAACTATTATGCATACCCCTCTAGGGTATAATACAGTATGTTGCGTCATGCCTAGCGAGTCAATGAAATTCTATACGATCAATGTGCACACCCCTCTAAGCGGATATTAATAGGTCACGGTTTATTTTTACATACAGGGATTTCATGTTTTCAACGCTGTTCGGAAGAAAGATGGAAGAAATCTTGAATATTTTCCTTTTTTTTCTGTTAATTCAGTTCTTAATTCTGCAGGGGATTTTCAAGCGATTGGGGAAATTTTAGGACCAAATTGGGGAAAAAAAGAGGCTAGTTTGGTTGGGGAAGTAGCCGATATTCGGCGTCTTTAAAGAAGGGTTTTTGGGCCTTGGGGGGTTGCAATAAAAACTGCCTAGGCTAGGGAGGGGTATCGCCAAGTTTTTTTTAGGTTGTAGAAACCATATTTATTTAAGAAGGCTATCACCAGCATGTACATTCTATTTCAACATTACATGATCCATGGCAAAAACACCAAAAACTTCAGTCATACCTTTTGGTCCCCAACCAGTAATCTATTTGTCCCCTGCCTTTTCAAAGAAAAAGGGGGCGGATATAGAAATAGGCTCTGTCCGTACAAACCCAGAGGTACTTGTTTGACTTGGAGACAGTCTTCGAAATTAACGCCAGTCCGAGGCCCGAGGCCACTAAATTTAGCATCGGTCCAGTGATTATTATAAGGTTGGTGGTCCAACAGGCCAGTAGATTTTTGGCCATGAAAAAATATTATAAGAAAAATTCATCAAAATAATGAAGCAGGGCTCTCTAAAAGATTGATATTTTTGCCTTTTTTGCAAATGAAACCCATCAATTCTGTCCTAAATGTTCAAAACACAGCGAGAGATGTCTAAATTGTATTGAGTAATGGAGGCCGCCATTTTTTTCTTGGATATTTTTTGTACCGCATCGTACAGTTACGGAAATCAAACCATTGTTTATTATGGTCATTATTTAGCCATGATTTTGTGATTATTGAGTTAAGTAAATATTTTGTGTGAAAGTGATTTGTTTGAAGCAAAATGCGTTGTTCATGTTCAATGCTAGTCAATTTTGCCTAAACATTTGGTCCTTATAGATTTTTCAAAGCTGTCAACATATGGCCCAGAATACAGAAAGTATTATGCTTCTTTCAAAATTATCAAGGGAAGCAATAAAACATGATAAAGTGTTTTCCTTAACCCATCAATTTATTACCTATCTATGCATTAATTTTGGTCCGGCTAAAAATCACCAGGTCCAGTAAGATTTGAAATTTTACTGGCCCGAATGTCCTGTGCTTTTTAAAGTTTTTCGTGAAGACTGTGGAGAACAATAGGTAACAGTAAATTCTCTTTGATCCTATTCATTCCATTTTTACTAGTGTGTCATTTTTTCAAGGCTTAAAAAATGACACACTAGTTTGAAGACAATCCATTCAAAAATAAAGTTACAGCCAATAATACCCAAAACAAGAGCTGTCAGTAGGACAGCACGCTCGACTATTCTAAGTGCTTGATAGTAAAAGAGCCTTGATAATGTTAAATTTTTTAAGTTCACAAAAGGGCTAATATTTTTTTTATAAATTCATGTTATACGCCTTAGAGAGAGTCTAATTATACAGTATTGGCTTGACTATTCGGAATGTAATTTCACAAGGGTGTTTTATTGAGTATAATAATACTAATTACCTATGAATACATAAATTTGACAGAAAAGTTACAAAGGCTTGTTATTAAGATGTTTTATCAAGTAAATCACTGCTTTATTATTATGAATGCATAAAATTGTCCCAAAAAAGGCACAAACCCTTCAGTAGTTATTGAGATAACAGCTTACAAGCAAAACTTTACCATGAATTTCTAAGTTGATAAAGGGGAGAAAAATCAGCCTAAATGCAAGATAGAATTATGGATCTTTGTCAGTGACCTACAATTATGACCCTAAATGCATATGTGAAGTTTTAAATAAATATCTTTAATAGTTATTGATATATGTAAAACTTGCATGTAAACATTAACCATTAGAGACCGTAGAAAAGGGGATATGAATCAGCCTTAATGCAAGATAGAGTTATGGAACTTGGTCAGTGACATACAATTATGACCCTCCAATTATTACCCTAAGTGCATGTGTAAAGTTTCAAGGAAATATCTTTGAAGACCTTTAACCTTTAACCAAAATTTCTAAGTTACAAAGGTGCAAATAATTCTGCAAATATTGCTGGGAGAGTTATGCAATTTTGCAAACTGATGTACATTGTTACTATAAAAAAGTATTTTAAATTTCAAATGAATATCTCAAGCAATAATTGAGATATTTGACTTTACAAAAAACTTTAACCAAAATTTCTAAGTTCCAAAGGGGCATAATTCTGTCAATATTGTAGGCAGTGTTATCCAACTTGTCAATCTGATGTACCTTGTTACTATAAATAAGTATTGTAAGTTTCAATTGAATATCTCAAGCAATAATTGAGATATTTGACTTTACAAAAAACTTTAACCAAAATTTCTATGTTAAAAAGGGGCATAATTCTGTCAATATTGTAGGCAGAGTTATCCAACTTGTCAATCTGATGTACCTTGTTACTATAAATAAGTATTGTAAGTTTCAATTAAATATCTCAAGCAATAATTGAGATATTTGACTTTACAAAAAACTTTAACCAAAATTTCTATGTTAAAAAGGGGCATAATTCTGTCAATATTGTAGGCAGAGTTATCCAACTTGTCAATCTGATGTACCTTGTTACTATAAATAAGTATTGTAAGTTTCAATTAAATATCTCAAGCAATAATTGAGATATTTGACTTTACAAAAAACTTTAACCAAAATTTCTAAGTTAAAAAGGGGCATAATTCTGTCAATATTGTAGGCAGAGTTATCCAACTTGTACCTTGTTACTATAAATAAGTATTGTAAGTTTCAATTGAATATCTCAAGTAATAATTGAGATATTTGACTTTACAAAAAACTTTAACCAACGCAGACGCCGACGCAGACGCTGACGCCGACGCCGACGCCGGGGCGACTACAATAGCTCTCATATTCTTCGAATAGTCGAGCTAAAAATGAAAATTTCAATAATTTGACCTTCAAAGTCAAGGTCATTTATGAGTGAAGGTCAAGGTCTGTCTGGTTATTTTTAAGGGATATCCTTGAAGATTATTATGTTCAAGTTTGAAGACAATCCATTCAAAAATAACAAAGTTACAGCCAATAACAGCATGAACAAGCAAAATTTGGACTTTTAACCTTGAAGGTCAAGGTCATTTATGGATGAAGGTCAAGGTTAGTGTGGTCTACTGAAAGGTCTTGTCCCAAGGGTTGTTGTGGCCAAGTATGAAGACAATACACCAAGAAATAAAAAAGTTATGATCCAGGTACAAGTTTGCGGACGGCAACGCCGCCGCGACTATAGCAATACCTCTCCTTTTTTTTTCAAAACAAAAAAAAAGTCGAGCTAAAAATCAAAACACCCAAGCTTTTATCTGAATTAAATCACATCATGTACATATCTGTCCGGACACATGGTACTGTAGTGTAGACAATTTAGGTAATTTTGATACCCTCCTTTACGAGCCTCAGATACAAGTGTCGATACAATCAGAAATAAACAAATTAGTTTGTTAGTTAGGAGAAGAACCTAGCTGAACTGTGTCAAATTTTTTGGTCTCTAGGTTAAAAATTATGAAATCTGTACGGAAAAATGTTCCAAAAGTGTCCGGTTGATGGTCTCCGACCAGTATTAAGGAATACATAAATACTTTATATTCCGCCCGGAGCAGTGAAGTCAAGTGATGTCAGCACATGTCATGTAGTGCCAAACAAAATATTTTGTCGACATTTGACTAATTTTTGCAATTTATTATTATGTAATGCTTCGATTTAAGATATCAGCGGTTGTAAAAGGTATGATTTTGTATTGCGTATGGAAATTGCTAAATCGAGTGTAGGACAAAAGCCCTCCCGTCCAAAATTGACAAGGCGGACAAAAGCCCTCCTGTGAAAATGACAGGGCGGACAAAAGCCCTACCGTAAAAATGACTGGGCGGACAGAAGCCCTCCCGTAAAAATAACAGGGCGGACAAAAGCCCTCCCGCAGCAAATACATATATGTACCAGTGTTCCCACTTCTATTTTTCATTGGGAGTATTTTTACCCCTTACCTTTGAAAACTGGGGGTAAAATAAAAATTCAGGGGTTACTTAAATTTGTACAATATTTATATGAAATTTAAGGATAATTCCAAAATCATACATCAGACAATTATGCTGTTTTCTTCAAGATTCACTTCATCACTGCCCCCCCCCCCCTTAGGTAAAATTAATTGTGACCAACACATACTGGCATATATCTCAATCTCAATTAATATAAACATTATTGAAGTTATCTAAGTTCATAAACAGCATATAAATTGTGACTACACACCTTTGAACAAAAACAAAGCTTCCCTTTTGTTGATGTTTTTTAATTAACAAAATCGGCATCGCGAAAATATGTGACAAATGAAAATTCGTCAGTTTTCTGCAGAAACATTTACAATTCCAGTTGTTGCTGATTACAATTATATTAGAATTAATATTTTTTTAATATTTTAAGGACTGTTTTTCATTGGCTATTCTTACAGGCATCGTAAAACAAAAATTTCAAATTTGTAATTTACGGCAATAATTCCCAGTTGGGGGTCTGTAAACTTCATTGTGAATTCGGAGATTTTCTCACATTTCATCAATTTCAATGCACTTTAAGTGAATTTTGTTTGAAAAATTGCTCAAAAGAATAATTTTTGAATTATACATGATTAAGATTCCGACTTTCTGTGCGTATTTTTACCCTCTTGCCTAAATTTCTGTACGTGAATTTTGTTATTTGTGCGTAAAATACGCACATATGTGCGTAAATGGGAACACTGTGTACATTGAATAGTTTATATTTTCTTTTCAATGCACTCAACATATTAAAATTGTAATCATGAATATTTTTGTTTTCCATTGGCAAAACCGTGTTTGTATGAGCTTGAACACATTCCTGAGGGGCATCTGAATAATTAGTGCTAAAATCTGTAAGTCCATATTTATTCACATAGATATGAAGGATTTCTCCTATGTGAAGATAATATTAATAGAGTATTAAATGATGAAAAGAAGTTAAAATTATCTAAACATTTATAATGTGCCTTGTAATGAGTCAATTACTTTTAAAAGTGACTGTTTTTAACGGCATTCGTGTAAAAAGTTACCTCGTTAAACATTTCAGGAAGGTATATTCAGAATACTAGAAATGTGTCATCATGCCACGGATGCCCCCGCATGCAGCCAAAATTTCAAATGTTATAATATTTAGTTCCAAATTTGTTTGCACAAATTATTTTTTTCATTCTAAGTTCAAAGCCCTTAAAACTTTTCAATGTTAACACAAACCATTTTTACACAATGTTCAAGGCACTGAAATTATTCAGTCTTAACCATTTTTATACAATGTTCAAGGCACTGAAATTATTCAGTCTTAACCTTTTAAAAATAGCATATTGCATATTTGTAGCCAACATAATGGCTATATACATTTCCACAAAAGTATGAGTGCTGAAACTGAAAGTTCAAATTTTTTCCAACATTCAGGAAAGATAAGTTTGTCTAAAATCATTGAACCACGACCAAATTCAAACTTAAACTGCTTATTCCTAAGATGTATCTATATTATTTTCAAAGTGAAAGGGACATAACTCTGCCAAAAATCATCGAACCATGACCAAATTCCAACTTGACCTGCGCATTCCTTTGACATATCCATATGTCAATTTTGAGTTGAATATGTAACACTGTTGGGTTGATAATGAACAGAAAACTGTAAATTTCATATCATTTTTCAAAGTGAAAGGGGCATTACTCTGCCAAAAATCATTGAACCATGACCAGATTCGAACTTGGTCTGCGCATTCCAAAAACATATCCATATGTCAAATTTGAGTTGAATGTGTAATATTGTTGGGGAGATAATAAACGGAAACTGAAAATTTCATATTATTTTTAAAGTGAAAGGGGCATAACTCAGCCAAAAATCATCCAACCATGACAAAATTTGAATTTGACCTGCGCATTCCTTTGACGTATCAATATGTCAAATTTGAGTTGAATGTTTAATACTGTTGGGGAGATAATAAACAGAAACTGAAAATTTCATATTATTTTCAAAGTAAAAGGGGCATGACTCTGTCAAAAATCATCGAACCATGACCAAATTTGAACTTGACCTGCGCATTCCTTTGCATATCGATATGTCAAAATTTGAGCTAAATGTGTTGTACGATTGGGGAGATAATGAACGGAAACTAAAAATTTCATATTATTTTTCAAAGTAAAAGGGGCATAACTCTGCCAAAAATCATTGAACCATAACCAAATTTGAACTTGACCTGCGCATTCCTTTGACGTATCCATATGTCAAGTTTTGAGTTGAATGTGTTGTAACCATTGGGGAGTTAATGAAAACGGAAACTGAAAATTTCATATTATTTTCAAAGTAAAAGGGGCATAACTCTGCCAAAAAATCATCGAACCATGACCAAATTTGAACTTGACCTGTATTTTTCTCATGACATATCAATATGTCAAGTTTGAGTTGAATGTGTTGTACCGTTGGGGAGATAATGAACGGAAACTGAAAAATTTCTGTTAATTTTCAAAGTAAAAGGGGCATAACTCTGCCAAAAATCATCGAACCATGACCAATTTCGAACTTGACCTGTATTTTCTCATGACATATCCATATGTCAATTTTGAATTGAATGTTTTGAACCGTTTGGGAGATAATGAACGGAAACTGAAAATTTCATATTATTTTTCAATGTAAAAGGGGCATAACTCTGCCAAAAATCATCGAACCATGACCAATTTCGAACTTGACCTGTATTTTCTCATGACATATCCATATGTCAAATTTGAGTTCAATATGTGCAAGGGTTATTAAGATAATGAACGGAAACTGATGACGACGGAAGGACGGAATGACGGAACAGGGTAACACTATATGCCCCTGCCATTATATGGCGGGGGCATAAAAAGATGATTCTAGCTCATACCAGTAATAAGCCAAGGCCAATTGAAAACAACAAGAAATATATACATGTAACAATTTTAATATGTTGAGTGCAATGAAAAAACACAAAAGTATTCAACATACATATTTATTTTGTTACGGGAGGGCTTTTGTCCACCTTGTTAATTTCACGGGAGGGCTTTTGATGCCCTGTCATTTTAGCGGGAGGACTTTTGTCTGCCTTGTCATTTTTTGACGGAGGGCTCTCGTCCGTTTCCCGGCTAAATCAGTTCACTGAACAAATAAAAAAAGCATTTTCGGGGCCGTCCGAGTTTGGTGGTTGTCCGGTTTTGGTTAGTCCAATAGATTGGACGTTACAGGCTTGTTATAGTTTTATGTTTGTCAAGTCCGACGTCTAATAGTTATTGCTCATAAATGCGTAGCATTTTGAAAAATTAAAAAAATGTCTGTTGACTTGCCTTTCAAGCTTTATTCAAAAGCTTATCTTCTGTTCTTTCAATTGCATGGTCTATCATTAACAAAAACTTTCAAACAATGTACTTATCAATTAAAAATAAAATATAAATATCAGTCTATTTTGCTCATTGCCGTCATCGGCCATACTGGTTAAGTAAAGCGTTTTACAGATTGATTCCAATTTTTTGAACGGAAAATTATATTCGAACACACTGAGAGTGCATGGGCAATTATTTTGTTGAAAAAATATTCCGTTAGAAACTTCTGGACTCATTTAAACGCTTGCATTTGAATAAGCCAATCAGATTTCGCGCTCTGTATGGCGGCCATTTGTATATCGGCTGTACACGGAATTTAATTAAGGCCATCCTTAAAAAAATGTTCGTTTACAGTAACGCGACCGACTCAAAAAATTTGCCCCTACTCAAAAATTTTTTTCATGGTCTGGATAAAAAATTATTTTTTTTAAATCAGAAAATTATGCCTTGTGCTTTGTTTTCGTTCTTTTAAAGGTTAATAGAAGAAATACAAGAGCTGTCCGTAAGACAGCGCGCTCGACTTTTTTATTGCTTGCCAATAAAAAAAGTTTTTGCAGTAAAAGGCAATACAAGAATCTCTGTATTTTTAAAGTGAACAATGGCCATGAGCATTAAGATATTTAGTGAAGAATTATTTTATTATGACATAATTTATGGTAAAGTGAACAAGTGGATAGGAATGAATTTTTTTAGATTTTTTAAGTTTTTTAGTGCTTGCCTATAATACAAAACATTGACAGTTAAGGGCCATAATTCAAATAAAATCTTTGACAGAATTACCTTCTCCTGGACATGTTTGGGAATCATGATTGTAAACAAGTATTCCAACTTTCAAATTAATATCTCAAACAGTTCAGTCAAAAAGTGGACTGGTACTAAAAACTTAACCAAGATTCTAAGTCGATAAAAGGCCTTAATTTTTAAAACAAATCCTTGACAGAGTTACCTTCTCTTGCGTACAGATGGGGGTAATGATGTGAAATAGCATTAAAAGTTTCAAAAGCAATATCTCAAAGGGTTAAGGCAATAAGTGGATTTTACCCATATTCAATGTATTTTCTAAGTCAAAAAGGGGCATAATTCTGTCAAAAACCTTGACAGAGTTATGTCCTCTTGTCTGTTGATGAAGGTCGTGATGGTAAACAAGTATGGTCAGTTTCAAAGCAATACCTCCAATGGTTTTGAAATAAAGTGAGGTGGTACAAAAAACTTAACCAAGCTCAATACACTTTCTAAGTCAAAAAAGGGCCATAATTCTGTCAAAAACCTTGACAGAGTTATGTACTCTTGTCTGTAGATGGAGGTTATGATGGTGAACAAGTATGGTAAGTTTCAAAGCCATACTTGTAATACTTCTGAAATAAAGTGGGGTGGTACGAAAAACTTAACCAAGGTGTGACGCCAACGCCGACGCCGACGCCGGGGCGAGTAGGATAGCTCCCCTTTTCATAGAAAAGTCGAGCTAAAAATGTAGGTCTTATTAAATTAGAATTCAGTAATCAATTTATTAATTGTTACCAGATTATCAAAGCATATATTGTCCAGCATTTTGAAATTCCATGT